GGTCTCGAAAAAGGCGTTTATAACGCTCGCAGCAATTTTTCGTTATTTTCACGGCTTTTCGCTATTTTCGCGGCTTTTCATCAATTTTCCTTTTTTCACCAAATCCATTGAAAATCGATTTTCCCAAAAAATTTCCCTAATATTTGAATTTTCCAAAAAACTCGGGATATTTACAGGTATTCTCTTAAAAAATTATCCCCAGACCCAGAAAAGTTGGCTTTAGAAAACGAGAAATGAATGAATTTTCGAGAAAGGTTTCATGTATTTTTGTCAAAGTTGGCAGGTTTTGAGTTTACAAATCGAATTGAATATTTCCTACAAAAATGACGAGATTTCTTAGCAAATACAGTAGTGCAACGGGAAGAGGAAATGCTTTAGAGCGTTTTCGATTTCATGTTTTGTTAAAGCTGGGCTGCTCGAATGAGTTTCGCGGATTTGCGTGGAGAATTGGACTTGTTTGGTGGGAAAGTTAGTGCAAAGTAGAAGCTAACTCTAGATTATGGTAGCGTTAGGATTACGGTAGTGTTAGGATTACGGTAGCGCCAGGATTACGATAGCGTTAGGCTTAGAGTAGTGCCAGGATTACGGTAGTGTTAGGCTTACGGTAGCGCCAGGATTACGGTAGTGTTAGGCTTACGGTAGCGCCAGGATTACGACAGTGCCAGGATTACGGTAGCGTCAGGATTACGGTAGCGTCAGGATTACGGTAGCTTCAGAATTACGGTAGCGTCAGAATTACGGTAAAGCCAGGTAACTTGTACCCAAAGATAGATAGACAAACCTACCGTAATCCTGAGCCAGGAACTACCGTACTCATTTCTCATTTTGCACTAACTTTATCCCTACACAAGTGACTGTACAATGAAAAGACTACAATCTGTTTTTGCTACAAGTTTTTGGCAGTTTGGGGCCAGTTTCAGGGGGATGGAGGGGTGAAAATTGAGTTGAGGCTAATGTTGAATAGAATCTTTAAAAGATGCTAGACACCGGTCAGGGTTACCGTAATTTCTACCGTAACCCTGACCCTTACTGTAGCTGGCTTACTGTAGCTGGCTTACTGTAGCTAGCTTACTGTAGCTGGCTTACTGTAGCTAGCTTACTGTAGCTAGCTTGCTGTAGCTGGCTTGCTGTAGCTGGCTGGTTGTAGCTGGCTGGCTGTAGCTGGCTGGTTGTAGCTGGCTGGTTGTAGCTGGCTGGTTGTAGCTGGCTGGTTGTAGCTGGCTGGCTGTAGCTGGCTTACTGTAGCCTGGCTATACTTCTAGCTTGTAGATTCCACTCAAAACATTCTCAACTCACAAAAAAGACAAAGAAATCAAACTGGAGGGCAAGAAGAACATACGCTTAACGAAAATGAGCAATAGCGATAAGGAGAACTCAGCACATAAACAAAAAAAGATCAAAATCAAAAAAGATTAGTGGATTCAAGATTCAAGATTAGTGGATATTGTCGGTTTTCTGTGGTACTGTCGATTTTAAACTGGAGAGAGCACCAAGAATGGGCGGATTTCACATATTTTCTTATAGCAATGATCTGCTTTCAACAGAAAAGCAAAGAAGTTTCAATGCGTCAGAGCAGTGCCGTTTCCACTTTTCAAGCACAAAGTACATTCCAATCCCCCACCAGATTAAGACTAGAAAAGCGTGTAACTTTGGTGCTCTTTTAGAAATGAATATGATCAACGAATCCTTGATAAAAGGATATAATTCATATTGTTCTACAATAATTCATATTGTCTTAAATGAATCCTTTGAATGATATCTCGACAATCATTGAACACTCTCTGATATTTTTCTGTGTCAACAGCGCATGTGAAATGGGGATAACAGTGATGTCGACCGTCGCCAGCTGCCGTTGAAATCCTCTGGAAATTTCTTGGTTTAAAAAACTCTCGTCAAACGATTGTTGCGATTGTTGTTTTGCTTTTTAAATAACTATTTCTTTAGCTTTTCTTTAGCTTTTCTTTAGCTTTTCTTTAGCTTTTCTCTAGCTTTTCTTTAGCCATTTAAATTGAAATATATAGAATATAGATGTTATTTAATATAGAAAATCACCTTTTTCAAAAAAACCTTAGAATTTAGCTCCTTAAGCTGCTGCCACACGCCCTCATCTGACTAACACATAGGCGTAGCCAGAATTTCATTTCAATCTAACGGCTCGAGCTCCTCGAGACTACTCCCAATCAATTTTCAACCAAGAAATCTACCAAATGAGCCAGTTTTCTCCTTTTTGCGCGTCACTAAGCCATAGAAAATCACCTTCTGAACCATAGAAAATCACCTTTTTCAAAAAAACCTTGGAATTTAGCTCCTTAAGCTGCTGCCACACGCCCTCATCTGACTAACTCAGCGGTGTAACCAGAATTTCATTTCAATCTAATGGCTCGAGCTCCTCGAGACTATCCCCAATCAATTTTCAACCAAGAAATCTACCAAATGAGCCAGTTTTCTCCTTTTTCCGCGTCACTAAGCTCAAATTCTTGAGATCAGCTCTCACCCTATATTTGGCTGTATTTTTGCTACGATTTTGGCTGTATTTTTGCTACAGGCCTGGAGCTAGTTATTTAAAATAAATAGAATAGAATAAACAATATAATAAACAATATAAATCCCAAATCACTCACCAAGAATTCGCCTCTGATGAAGTATTTGGCTCGCACGACTTTCGGGTCATCCGATGGATCGTAAACGGCATCCGATGGGAGTTGATAATTAGCGAATTCCGGGAAATAATCCTCCAATTTGTAGCGGCCGGCTTTGATCTTTTCCGCTAATAAATCCTGAAAAAAAAATGTTTTTGAGAAAATTGAGCTCATCTTTCTTTACTTGTTTATTTAGGAAAAGAATGACGGATATCGTCTTCAGCCATCGATTATTCCAGATGTTCTTGAAAAGCGCCAGTGATTCACGCAATCGATTTTGGGTCGAATCCTGGAAATTTTTGAGATCAAGTGTTTTAAATCAAGTGCTTTTAAAGTTTAAAATGCATTTAAATTCTATTTTCATTTGTTTTTGTGGTTCCAGGCTTTCCCTAGTTTGTCATGGGAAATGTTTTCTATCTTTTAGAGGCTCAGGGCTTGCCTTTTAGAGGTTATTTTCTTTTAGATGCTTTAGAGGCCTTTTAGAGGCTTTAGAGGCCTTTTAGAGGCTTTAGAGGCCTTTTAGAGGCTTTAGAGGCCTTTTGGAGGCTTTAGAGGCCTTTTCGAGGCCTTAGAGGTCTTTTAGAGGCTTTAGAGGCCTTTTAGATGCTTTAGAGGCCTTTTAGAGGCTTTAGAGACCTTTTAGAGGCTTTAGAGGCCTTTTAGATGCTTTAGAGGCCTTTTAGAGGCCTTAGAGGCCTTTTAGAGGCTTTAGAGGCCTTTTAGAGGCTTTAGAGACCTTTTAGAGGCTTTAGAGGCCTTTTAGATGCTTTAGAGGCCTTTTAGAGGCCTTAGAGGCCTTTTAGAGGCTTTAGAGGCCTTTTAGAGGCTTTAGAGGCCTTTGAGAGGCTTTCCTTGAGATCTACACCCACCTCCCAAAGCATCATATTGTACGAAGCGGAACAGCAAACGAAAATGATCGCCGTCACATCGTTGAAACATTGAATCCATTTTCTTCGTTCGTCTCGTTGACCGCCCACATCGAACATACTGTAATCACGTTTTTGAGGACTTTTCGAATATGGGAAAATATGGGAAAAATATGGGAAAGCTACTGTAGCCCGATTTTCTTCTATCTCAATAGTATATTATTGTAAGATGTAGAAGTAATGAGAAGTAAAGAAGATTTAAGTAATGTAAGATGTAGAAAAGTAATGGAAGATGTAGAAGAGTAATGTAAGATGTAGAAGAGTAATGGAAGATGTAGAAAAGTAATGTAAGATGTAGAAGAGTAATGTAAGATGTAGAAGAGGAATGTAAGATGTAGAAAAGTAATGGAAGATGTAGAAGAGTAATGGAAGATGTAGAAAAGTAATGTAAGAGGTAGAAAAGTAAGAAGATGTAGAGAATCTTATTGTTTTTTTGAAAAATACAGATAATTGACTAAATTGACTATAATAGACAATAAAAACTGGAAAACTCACTGAAATCGAACTTTGTCGACCTCGAATTTCGTCTCAAAGATTCCGGTCGTCATCACACGACATCGAAGAATATCCTGAGCAAATAATCAGATTTAAATGTAAATCATTATATCAATATTACAATTTTTAGATCAAATATACTGATCAAATTCAAATTTAGATCAAATTGTGAAAGTTTAATGTGATTTGGAATGAAAATTCAAGCTTTACCTGTTCGGAGGGACTGTACTCGGGCTTTCGCACTTGCTCGACCCGATCGAGGAAACTGAAAGGGGAAATTTATTGGTTTTTTAGCTATTTATTATCAGAAATATCTAAAGATCTAAAGATTTATTTAGTTTAATTTGACTATTTCTATATAATATAATAAATAGATGATTCCTTTAACACATCGACGACCGCGTGACTCAATGCTGACAAGGGAGTGGTCCAAATTGGCCACACGATTTCGCTGTGAGTCAAGACTCACGACTCAAATCTTGACTCACGTTGAGATTTGAGTCACGTAATGTAAGTCATTCCCTTGTGAGTCTTGGCTACTCGTTCGGACTACGTGACTCAATGCTGAGTTGCTCAATGCGACAGAACCGAGTCTTTTAAAGCTCTCATGTGCAAATTTGGGGGATTTTGTTATTCATTTTGATCCTTTAACCAAATCGACCGTTTCGCAAAATATGCCCAGTTGTCAATGTGTTAAATCGGTAGCAAATTTTCCCCGAAACTCTCACTATTTCGCGCAATCAATCAGCTGATACTCGGAACTTCGCTCGAAAGTCGCTCGTACGCCCCGATCCGCCCAGCATTTGATCACGTGATCGTAGAATTCCTGAAAAAAAACTTGATTATATACCGTGCCAGCTTGACTAGATCCTGATCAGCCTCAGGATCAGGATTAGCTTGACCTGAAACTGATCAGCTTCAGGATCAGGATTAGCTTGACCTGAAACTGATCAGCTTCAGGATCAGGATTAGCTTGACCTGAAACTGATCAGCTTCAGGATCAGGATTAGCTTGACCTGAAACTGATCAGCTTCAGGATCAGGATTAGCTTGACCTGAAACTGATCAGCTTCAGGATCAGGATCAGCTTGACCTGATCCTGATCAGCTTGACCTGAAACTGATCAGCTTCAGGATCAGGATTAGCTTGACCTGAAACTGATCAGCTTCAGGATCAGGATTAGCTTGACCTGAAACTGATCAGCTTCAGGATCAGGATTAGCTTGACCTGAAACTGATCAGCTTCAGGATCAGGATTAGCTTGACCTGAAACTGATCAGCTTCAGGATCAGGATCAGCTTGACCTGATCCTGATCAGCTTGACCTGAAACTGATCAGCTTCAGGATCAGGATTAGCTTGACCTGAAACTGATCAGCTTCAGGATCAGGATCAGCTTGACCTGATCCTGATCAGCTTGACCTGAAACTGATCAGCTTCAGGATCAGGATTAGCTTGACCTGAAACTGATCAGCTTCAGGATCAGGATCAGCTTGACCTGATCCTGATCAGCTTGACCTGAAACTGATCAGCTTCAGGATCAGGATTAGCTTGACCTGAAACTGATCAGCTTCAGGATCAGGATTAGCTTGACCTGAAACTGATCAGCTTCAGGATCAGGATTAGCTTGACCTGAAACTGATCAGCTTCAGGATCAGGATTAGCTTGACCTGAAACTGATCAGCTTCAGGATCAGGATTAGCTTGACCTGAAACTGATCAGCTTCAGGATCAGGATCAGCTTGACCTGATCCTGATCAGCTTGACCTGAAACTGATCAGCTTCAGGATCAGGATTAGCTTGACCTGAAACTGATCAGCTTCAGGGATCAGGATCAGCTTGACCTGATCCTGATCAGCTTGACCTGAAACTGATCAGCTTCAGGATCAGGATTAGCTTGACCTGAAACTGATCAGCTTCAGGATCAGGATTAGCTTGACCTGATCCTGATCAGCTTCAGGATCAGGATCAGCTTGACCTGATCCTGATCCGCTTGACCCGATCCTGATCAACTTGACCTGATCCTGAGCCTAAGCCTAAGCCTAAGTCTAAGCCTAAGCCTAAGCCTAACACACCGCCAAACGGGTGTCCCTTAGCTCCGAGAACTGGCTGAGATCCAGAAAATGGGGGTTTAGCCCAAACCCAAATAGACTTAGTGCTAGGCGCTAGCCGCTAGCCTTCGCACTAAGTCCAAGCCTAAGCCTAAGCCTTGACCAGATCCTGATCAGCTTGACTCAATGCTTTTTCCTTGTCATTCCCAAAATCATTGAGTTAAAGTCAAGCAACTCTTTGACCGCTTGATTAGAAATATTTTTATATAGTATTCATCCCTTTCCACAAACCTGTGGATAATCGAAATCTTCATCGGCGGCCGTGGTGAGAAGATAGTCCCGACTTGGGCCATTTGACGGATCGTCGAGGCTTACTTTTGGGTCGATCTCGTCCATCGCGTGCAGGATCACCTTGAAATTACTATTTTAATGAATTATCGATAAAAATTAGGTTCTTAAGTCTTTTTCCCCTTACCCTTCGCAACCTTTTGCTCACTTTGCATGCAGAAAAAAAAGCCATAGCACACACTACACTCATTTTTATGCTCTTGCTTTGAGATGACTAATTAGTGGTGCGATCTCTTAGCTCCCAGTTACAACGTTTTACAATCAACATCCGAGCAAACCAAGTCTTATTGCTAGATTTTGTGAGTGATCGTAAGAAATTTGTCTTGTTTCAGAGAGTTTAACGGATTTGGGATGAACTAACGGATGCTGTACTTCTAGTAAAGTACAGTAAAGTACTGTACTGTCAGCCAGGATTGTATTGTACTGATCAACCAGGATTGTACTGTACTGATCAACCAGGATTGTACTGTTCTCATCAGGCAGGATTGTACTGTACTGCCAGCCAGGATTGTACTGTACTGATCAGCCAGGATTGTACTCTACTGCCAGCCAGGATTGTACTGTACTGTCAGCCAGGATTGTACTGTACTGCCAGCCAGGATTGTACTGTACTCCTCAGCCAGGATTGTACTGTTCTCATCAGCCAGGATTGTACTGTACTGCCAGCCAGGATTGTACTCTACTGCCAGCCAGGATTGTACTGTACTGTCAGCCAGGATTGTACTGTACTGATCAGCCAGGATTGTACTCTACTGCCAGCCAGGATTGTACTCTACTGTCAGCCAGGATTGTACTGTACTGTCAGCCACTTTGAGCCAATATTACTGGACTGATTCGATCACTAACAGTACATGCTTACGTACTGTACATGCTTACGTACTGTACATGCTTACGTACTGTACATGCTTACGTGCTGTACTGCTTAACAATGAGTACAGTGCTATTTTTCTAGTAAAGTACAGTAAAGTACAAATTGCAACATTTCTTTCTTCTCGAAAACTTTGACTGAATGGGCATTCCCTATTTCCATTTTCGTCAATGTTTTTCCCCTATTCGAAAAGACAAAATAACGGTTTTTTTTTTTTGCTTTCCTTTGACGTCTTCTCCTCCATTTTAAGTGAGTGACTCACGATTCATGTACAAAATTGTTTTATCATTTCACTGATACATTTTCTATTTTTAGAAACAAAAAGGAAAAATGGAAAAATGGAAAAATGAGAATTTTCGATATTTCGATATTTCGATATTTCGATTTTTCGATTTTTCGATTTTTCGATTTTTCGATTTTTCGATTTTTTTCGCTTTACAATCCCTTTGTTAAAATTTCTCGAGGAAAATTTTGCTCTTTTCCCCTTGATCAGTGACAAATTGCAGCCAATTTTTGCGTTTTTAAGGAAACAATTTTTGCGGAAATGTCATCGCAAAGAAAGAATAAGACAAGAGTTTTTTTTTTCTTTTGGAAAATAGGAAAATGAATCGAATTCTTTTTTTTGAGTGTGCGAAAGAGTAAAGTTTGACCCTGGTGTTGACCATTGATAGAAAATAAGCAAAAATCGGTTAGAAAATGGGTTAGAAATTGATCTGAAAAGTGCAAATCTTGAATTCAAAGCAATTCAAAGCAATTTAAAGCACTTCAAAGCAATTTAAAGCAGTTCAAAACAATTCAAAGCTTTTTGTGTAATAAACTGTTTGGTTTACTGATTTTAAAGTTGATATTGGAAGGGTTTTGGATACTAAATAAAGCTATTAATTGATTTCTACCGTTTGTCTTTAAACAAACAAAACAAAGATCTGATTCTAACAGAGTTGAGCTCAATTTTTTACTCCTCAACTTGTCCGCTTTGATTTTGAGATCATTGGCAGCTCAACTAACCAGTGAATTGGGTTTAAACTCTCTTTCTTTCAACTTTCAACTTTCAACTTATTAGTATAATCGGTATTTAGAGACAGTTCACTAGATCTAGATGATATTCCAGCCAGCAGACCTGTCAATCCTAAACCGTGCTCTTGTGTCGCTAGAAATGCAGGGTTTTCCGCACAAAAAAAGCGTCAGTTGCGGGTGATTGTTTTGTTCACTTTTCTCTATTTCTCGGGCTGTCCCCTGGCCTCCCGTTTGGTCTCATTCAGGGGGAGCCAGCGGGCTCCCCTTTCCCCAGCTCACCCCTACACCCCCAGACACCCCTGCCCCACCTCTAGCCTACTCCAGCCCCACCCAACCCCTACCCCACCCCCAAGCTATCCCCAGCCTACTCTAGCTCACCCTTGCAACTCCTAGCCGACCCTCACCCCCCCGGACCTACTCCTATTCCACCCAGCTTACCCCTACACCACCAGGCCTACCCCTAACCTCACCCCCCACCCCCAGCCTACCCCAACCCAGCCCTCCAGCCTACCCTGAGCCTAAGCCTAAGCCTCAGCTCAGCCCCAGCCTATCCCTACCCTTCCAGCCCAGCTCCAGCTTGTCCCTACCCCTCCAGCCCAGCCTAAGCCTAAGCCGCCTAAGCCCAGCCTACCCCTATCCCTTCAGCCTCACCTACTCTTACCCCTATGCCCACCTTAAGCCCAAGTCTAGGCCTAAGCCTAAGCTCAGCCCAAGCCTAAATCCAGAAAATGGGGAGGGGTGAGCAGAATCCAGAAAAATCCCTTCAAATCCTAAATCCTAAATCCAGAAAATGGGGAGGCTATTTGGATAGCAAAGCCTTTGCCTAAGCCCAGCATACAAAGCATAAGCCTAAGCCCAGCTTCAGCCTACCCCTACCCCTCCAGCTCACCCCTACTCCAGCCTACCCCCACCCCTCCAGCTCACCCCTACTCCAGCCTACTCCTACTCCTATCCCACCCACCCCTATCCCACCCACCCCATCACCCCTGAAGTCGGCAATAAAGGCTGTCTCTCGGCACCCACCACCTCTCCTCGTACCCCAATATTTTCCCGCGCTTTTCCTCACCCATATCTCCATCTCTCTTTCCAATAAGAGCTAAAAATAGCTGCAAGCCGACCAGATATGGTCCTCTCTGAGCCCCTCTTTGCTCTTGAAGGGAAAAAAATGAGAGGAAACCAGTATTGAGGCATACAATTTTGTGTGTACTCGACGCCTCGTTTGTTCATTTTTTTTTCTAAGGTCATTTTTCGTTGAATATGGGATATTGGAAGGGTTTCTGGATATTAGATTTTTATAATTTTTCAGAATTTTATCATTTTTTCACTTTCCTAAGCTTCATGCAGATGCAAAAACGAAAAATGAAACGAAAACGAAACGAAAATCTTCATATCTTCATATCTTTATCTGCATACAAAGCAAACGAACACAAACGAACACAAAACGACGTAAACAATCGGGGAAATGAGCTGCACTTTGTTCTCTTGCAAAGCTCTTGCAAACGCACGCTCTCTACGGTAAAGTTACGCCAAAGTTTTGTGTGTTAGAGTGTGCGTTTTGAGCACAAAGTACAAAGGATTTAGCCGACTTTCGAGATCTGGCGCATCGAGATCAAGCTGGCGATCTGTTTTCCTTTTTTAGGACTCAATTTTGTTTCACAGATTCGCAAAAACTTTGGTGCCAGATCCCGAAAGTTTAAACTGATCGCGTAATCGTGCAAACTTTCGCCCTCTGGCATACTAATTTTCTCAATCTTGTTCACCAGATTTACAGAGTTCGAGTTGAATCACTTTACTAGGGGAATTTTGCCAGATGCTCGTAATCCTTTAAAACGAGATCAACTCCATCTTATAGAAGCGATTATGCTGATTCCAAATCCGTTTTCAGTTTTTGCCCTTGAGCCCTGTAACGCGAGATATCTGAGTTACAAGTTTCAGAGTTCATTTAGATCACATTTAGAGTTCACGGAGCCAACGAGCGATCGCCAACTAGCGACGTCTCCTTACTTAAGCTCATTTTTAGCAACGGAGGTAACTGGCGACGTGGTGTTGACTGTCGACTACGGCTCTAAAGCTGTCGACTACGACTCCAAAGCTGTCGACTACGGCTTCAAAGCTGTCGACTAGCTCTAAAGCTGTCGACTACGACTCCAAAGCTGTCGACTACGGCTCTAAAGCTGTCGACTACGGCTTCAAAGCTGTCGACTACGACTCCAAAGCACTCTGGTTCAATCCCCTTCTCGGCCAGTTTCTTTTTTTTTTAGTCCGACATATTTTGCAGGCTTACACGTTATCTCAGGCTCAATTAAAGACTCGATAAAAATCATTACATTTATTTTTATTACGATGAATGAATGTAATTCAGTCGGCTAGACGAATCGGCTTATTTTAAACTTCAGAATTGATAGACTGATAACAATCATAACAATCATAACAATCATCAACTTGATAACAATCAACAACTGATTTTTACTGTTACCTTACTATTCCAATGTAATTTAAGCCAAATTAAAAAGCCAAAGGAAACTGTCTGAGGCGAGGACCGAACCAGGGTGCTTTCGTGCTATAGTCGACAGCTTTGGCGATGCACCACGCAGCTAGTTGGCTCCGTTGCGAAAAATGATCTTAAGTAAGGAGTACTGAGATATCTGGTATCCCAGATATCTTTAACCCTTTTAACCCTCGTTTAACCTAGATATCTCACGTTATATGCCTCGTGGGCAAAAACTGAAAACAGATTCGGAATCAGCGTAGTCGATTCGATAAGGTTGTCGATTCGATAACGTTGTCGATTCGATAACGTTGTCGATTCGATAAGGTTGTCGATTCGATAACGTTGTCGATTCGATAAGGTTCGTTTTAAAAGGCTACGGGCATCTGGCGATGTTTCACGTTTCCTAGTTAAGCATCTGGGACACAAAATTTTGCTTTGATCCCTTGCGGTTTCGAATTTGTTTCGGTTTCGATGCGGTTTCGAATTTGTTTTTTTTTCTTGCCAGACAGGTCAAGCAATTCGAGAAATTTGCATGCAAACAGAAAGAAAAGAGAAAGAAAGAAAGGAACAAAGAAAGAAGAAAGAAAGAAGAAAGAAACAAAGAAAGAAACAAACAAAGAAAGAGCAAAGAAAGAAAGAAAAAAACAAAGAAAGAAAGAAAAAAACAAAGAAAGAAAGAAAAAAACAAAGAAAAAACAAAAAAACGAAACGAAGCGCAAAAATTTGAAAACAAAAACCCATCAATTTCATGCAAAACATTGGGAAAAAGCACTTAATGGGATAAAAATAGAAAAAAAAGAGATCAGAGAGGGATTTTGTTGAGATTTTGTTGGGGTTTTGCTCAAAAAAATTGTCGAGATCACAACACAGAACAGAGGGTTTAAGGGAACTTTCGATTTTTAGCTGAATCTCTTGAACTGTCTGGAAAAGGAGTACTGTAAAGCTACTGTAAAGCTACTGTACGCTAAATTAGCATCTCTTAAACTATCTGGAAAAGGACTACTGTATTTTGAGCCGTAAATTTGAATAGTTTGACTTTCTCCAAAAAGAAGTACTCTATTTTGAGCTTAAAGTAAATTTGCATTTTAAAAATGTCTAGAAAAAAGTACTCCATTTTAGTCCGAAAGTAAATTTGCATAACTGTCTAAAAAGTACTGTATTTTAAGGGAAATTTGAAAAGATTTACGATCATCATTTCAAGTATCAGTTTCTGTAAATTCTATCAAAGTCACGATAAAAAAAATCAAACTTTCTAAGAAAAGGATAGCAGAAAAGCGGAGAAGCTAAAAACAAAAAGTTTAAATTCTCAAAAAGACAAAGTTTTTAAAGTTTAAAGTTTAAAGTAGACATGGGCTGCGAGTCGAGTCGAGTCACGAGTCGAGTCACGAGTCACGAGTCACGAGTCACGAGTCACGAGTCACGAGTCGAGTCACGAGTCGAGGCACGAGTCACGAGTCGAGTCACGAGTCACGAGTCGAGTCGCGAGTCGAGGCACGAGTCACGAGTCGAGTCACGAGTCGAGTCACGAGTCGAGTCACGATTCGCGAGTCGAGTCATGAGTCACGAGTCGAGTCACAACTCACGAGTCGAGTCACGAGTCGAGGTACGAGTCACGAGCCGAGTCATGAGTCACGAGTCGAGGTTACGAGTCACGAGTCAAGTCATGAGTCATGGGTCGAGTCACAACTCACGAGTCGAGTCACGAGTCGAGTCGTCAAGGACCTCTAACGTGGCTCGACTCGCGGCTCGACTCGCGGCTTGACTCGTGGCTCGATTCGTGGCTCGATTCGTGGCTCGATTCGTGGCTCGATTCGTGGCTCGATTCGTGGCTCGATTCGTGGCTCGTGGCTCGCGACTTGACTCGTGACTCGAGTCACGTTAGAGGTCCTTGACGACTCGACTTGTGCCTCGACTCGAGCCACGTTAGAGGTCCTTGACGACTCGACTTGTGCCTCGATTCGACTAATTTTTTGACTCGTGACTCGAGAATCGTCACTATTTTGCAACTATTTTGCAACTATTTTGCAACTATTTTGCAACTATTTTACATTTAATATTTAAATTCTAATGAAATTTTTGTAAAACGATGTTATTGTTAAATAGTGAAATAGTAAACGATTGCTAAATACAAATATAGAGACTTAAATACAAATCTAATTGTAACGAGACTTGACTCGGCTCCTTTTTACAAAAATGCCCATGTCTAGTTTAAAGTTTAAAGTTTAAAAACTTCACAAAAAGTTTAATTTTTCAAATTTCATGGAAACTTTTCGATTAACATTCAAATATCGAATTCAAGCTTAACAAAGGCATGCAAACGAAAATGAAAAACAACAACAACATCAACAAAACAAAGCCATGCACAACAGAGGTGTGACAAAGGAGAGAAAAAGGAAAAGTCGCTTATTTTGCCACTAAGCTTTGTTCTTAGAAATTTATTATTATTCATGAGCTTTATCTTAAATAAAGTCTTAAATAAAACAGGCTTAAATAAAATTAAACTAAAATAGAACGCTGGCATTAATGGCCGTGATTGCCGAGTCTCCAACTTCAACTCCAACTCCAACTCCAACTCCAGTCAAGGGTTCAATCGCTAGCTTATTGGTTCTTCTTTCTAATCTATAGGCTTTTTTTCTCTCTACATTTAGAGCTTAAAGGTTGTACTTGTATACCATCCGTAAATACTGTAATAGTACCCCACCGCCCTCGTACAGTCGCGTAGTCGTAAACGCGTAGTCGTCTTTTAGTATTTTATTTTTTTCAAAGCGCCCGTACTTTCAAAAAATGCGTCTTTGGTATCAAAAAATAGCTGAGATTCAGGGCTATTTTTTGATACCTAAACGCGCATTGTAGCATAAACCAGTGTCGAGAAACAATTGTTCAAAGCTAGACTACGCAACGTTGCGTAGTCTGGCTTTGAACGAGTTTTCTCGACACTGGTTTAAGCTACAATGCGCGCTAAGATATCAAAAAATAGCCCTGAATTTCAGCTATTTTTTGATACCTAAACGCGCATTGTAGCATAAACCAGTGTCGAGAAAAACTCGTTCAAAGCTAGACTACGCAACACTCCGCACCGTCATCATGGGGGCGGGGTACTATTATAGTATTTACGGTATGCAACAAGTAGATAAAGCACGATTGTAAATCCGAAATGATTAGCTGAATTGGAAAGGGATTCTATAAAAGGATAATACTAATCGCTTTTTTATTTTAACATTTAATTAAGCATTTTAGAATGTTTAAAACTGTTTTCTATAGGGTTTTCTATAGGGTTTTTTATCGTTTCTATAGTTTTCGATTCAGCAAAAAGCTTTTTTGTTTGCAGCATTTACGGGGAGCCTATCTCATTACATTTTTACTTGAAAAGTAGTCGAGTAAACTTGAGTAAAGTAACCTTGAGCTTGAATCAATCTTGAATCTCTAGATCTTGCTGAAAATGGGAAAATCATTCGCTTAAGGCAAAATAAACGACGAGAAATGCTAACAAAAAGCTATCAAAAAGCAATCAAAAAGCATTGCAATCCCAAAAATAACAATCCCAAAATAACAATCCCTAAGGAACAATCCCTAAAACAATCCTAAGCCTAACAATCCCAAAATGCAAACCTGTATCGAATCTTTGACATTTCGTCGTATGTCCTTCATTTTCTCTTGCTTTTCAGCTTCCGTGAATCCATTGATATGCAGAATTCGCATTTGTTTCACGATTGTTGATTTCCCACTCTCACCAGCGCCTAGCAAAAGGAGTCGATGGGTGGCGCGCATCACCTGTAAATTTGGTTGGAATTTGGATGGAAGTTAGATGAGATTTGGATGGAATTTGGATGGAATTTGGATGGAAGCTAGCGTCAAGGACTCCAACTCCAACTCTAACTCCAACTCTAACTCCAACTCTAACTCCAACTCTAACTCCAACTCCAACGCCACTAGAGCTTCAAGATCAAGATTATCTACAGAGAATTTAAAGGTTTCTAGACTATTGGACTCTCTCAAAACTCTGGCGAGTCGATTCCAAATTCTGGCAGTTCTTATTGGCAGTTCTTATTGGAAAAGAGTTATGTTTTTGACATAGATTACGGTTATAAATCTAAAACTGATCTAAGAGTTAAAAATTTGAGATAATATGAGTTTTAGACCACTTAAGACTGTTTTTTTGCTGATTTTAGCTGATTTTAGCCGATTTTTGGCTGATTTTAGCCGGCTTAGCTGATATTTACCAATGTTTTTCCAAAAAGTGCCTTAGAATTCATGCAGAATATCATTTTTTCATTGAATTTTGTAAAAGATTAAGAATCTTTTCATTGTTTTTGAATGTACTGCAACTATCGCTATCCGCAACTATCGCTATCTGCAACTATCGCTATCTGCAACTATCGCTATCCGCAACTATCGCTATCTGCAACTATCGCTTTCACTGCCAAAACCGATGCCCACAATTTCGTCTAATCCTAGTTTTGTGAATTAGAAAGCACAAGTTCATAAAGAAATTCAGAAACTTTTACATTTTATAGAGTCTTTCTTCTTTTCCATGTTCTTATTTCTTTCATTTACCTGTTTATCCTTGGCGAGCTGTTCCTCGATTTGTTTATTGACCTTTTTGGCCTCTCGGCCTTCGGCATCGGCCGATGCGCCGCTCACACACCCGGGCAGCCGCATCGCCACCAGGGGAGGCCGCCTGGAATTGGTTATATTTTTAAAAAGTATCTAAATTTCGATTTAAAGCTGATGGATCATTTATACAGTTCAGTTTTGGTTGTTTGGCTGTTCTAAGGTCTTCCAAGAATGACTTTGGATGTTTCAAGGTCAATTTCTGACCTAAACATTCGCACAAAAGCCATCTAAAACCAAAACCGTTCTAAAAGTCGAACATATCGATCCTTTTGGGGCTAGCTATAAAAGCTGGTCAGCGTCGGGAGTCGAACCCGCGACCTCTCGCCTATTGGGGGCCAACGCTCTACGAATGAGCTACGCCGAGATGTACCCAGTGCCCAGGAAAGGCCCTTACTTAGACACTGTACGAATTTTGATGTTCATCAGACTTTCTAGCCTCTCTGTCTTTTACAATCAAAGTTTATTGCCGAAAAAAGTGTTTGCGTTGGACCTTAGCGTCAGAATGACCGCGTTGGGGCTAGGAATCCAAAATATAGTCAGCGGGAGTCGAACCCGCTGACCTCTCGCCTAATGGAGGCGAACGCTCTACCAATGAGCTACAACGACATGCACGGAGTGCCGTCAGGAGAGGTCCTTATGCCTTACTCAAAGCTAGAGTCTGACTTCTGTCATTGCTGGTTTTGTTGGCTTCTAAAACTCCTTGGGATCGCTAGAAATCCCAAGCTAGTCCATGGGATCGCTAGAAATCCTAAGCTAGTCCATGGGATCGCTAGAAACCAGATCTAGTAGATCCACTGGACTAGACTGATTCAGTTTTGACTCGATTGGAGTTTAGACTAGATTAAACTGGCTCTAGAGTCCGGTTGGAAGACTTTTAGTCAGTCCCTGGTCTAGCCTGGCCTTTAGAAGCATATCTACTGGTTTAAAAATAATAAAAACAATCACCACTAACTACAAAAATATCAGTTTTCTGTTTTCATCCGAAAAACTTTCATTTCCTTCAACTTTTCTCTGTTCGAATCGACAAAATCTTACTTTCTACCTTTCTCAGAAAAGGAATGGCTTTACTGGTAGCAGAATAGAGTTTACTCAAAACTGCTATACCCAAAGAATAGTTCAGTTTACTAAAACTGCTAACAATAATGATCAGAAAGAGATTTTTCTCTAAAAATTCAACTTTTATATTCTTTTTTACTACTTTTATACTACTTTTATACTACTTTTATACCCTTTTATATCCCTAATTTTATACCGTAGCCCAAAATACGACATGATCTGGCTATTCAGTTTAGCTATTCAGTTTAGCTAGATCAAAAAATAGCAAACACAAATTCGACAAAAACTCGACAAAAACCTTTTGCTAAACGAACTTTAGGCCGCCCAGAGCCGTGTGGACGCGTGCAGCGCTGGCCTTGTGGTTGAGGAGGGAATGGCAGTCGAACCGGTGAGGCAAACCGCCAATCTGATATCGGAAATGGGGGATGAGCGGTTGGGCACCAGGATGCTGAAGACACACCGAAGGCACGCAAACCACAAACAACCACCCGACCGTCTCTCGAGAGAAATCTCCTTCTGAAAAGTTCATTGATAAGTTCATTGATAAGTTCATTGATAAGTTCATTGAAAAGTTCAGGGAAAAAATCATTGAAAAGTTGATTAAAAAGTTGATTCAAAAATTGGATGTACTTTCAACTCTAGTAAATGCACGCTATCTAGTGCCCTATCTGGTGCTCTATCTAGTGCCCTATCTAGTGCTCTATCTAGTGCCCTATCTAGTGTTCTATCTAGTGCTCTAGCTAGTGCTCTATCTAGTGCTCTATCTAGTACTCTATCTGGTGCTCTATCTAGTGCCCTATCTAGTGCTCTATCTAGTGCTCTAGCTAGTGCTCTATCTAGTGCTCTATCTGCTGCTCTATCTAGTGCTCTATCTGCTGCTCTATCTGGTGCCCTATCTAGTGCCCTATCTAGTGCTCTATCTAGTGCCCTATCTAGTGTTCTATCTAGTGCTCTAGCTAGTGCTCTATCTAGTGCTCTATCTAGTACTCTATCTGGTGCTCTATCTAGTGCCCTATCTAGTGCTCTATCTAGTGCCCTATCTAGTGCTCTATCTAGTGCTCTAGCTAGTGCTCTATCTAGTGCTCTATCTGCTGCTCTATCTAGTGCTCTATCTAGTGCCCTATCTGCTGCTCTATCTAGTGCTCTATCTGCTGCTCTATCTGGTGCCCTATCTAGTGCTCTATCTAGTGCTCTATCTAGTGCTCTATCTAGTGCCCTAGCTAGTGGTCTATCTGGTACTCTATCTAGTGCTCTATCTAGTGCCCTAGCTAGTGGTCTATCTAGTACTCTATCTAGTGCTCTATCTGGTGCTCTAAGCATTCAACTCGATCAAGTGTCCCAGAAACTCTGCGTTTACAAGAGCATAGAATTGAAGAGAAAATTTATGAAAAGAACAGCTTTTAAAATTACCGTAAATACTGTAATAGTACCCTTGTACAGTCGCGTAGTCGCAAAAGTTTTTAGTATTTCATTTTTTCAAAGCGCCCGTACTTTCAAAAAATGCGTCTTTAGTATCAAAAAATAGCTGAGATTCAGGGCTATTTTTTGATACCTAAACGAGCATTGTAGCAAAAACCAGTGTCGAGAAAAGCTCGTTCAAAGCCAGACTACGCAACACTCCGCATCGTCATTATGGGAGCGGGGTGCTATTACAGTATTTACGGTATCTAAATAATACAAAATCGATAAAAAAAAATAGAAAACATAAAATAAGATAAGACAAATTTTAAAATATTCAGTGCTCTTTTTATCGAACGTCCGTTTCTGGATCGAACGGCCGAAACTAAACAAAAATTTTCTTTCCATATCAGACGTCCTGTTCAAAAAAGGACGCTTGTTCCGTTTCGGACGTAACATATGCAAATCGATATGTGAATTCTGCGAGGAAACACCCGGAAAAAGCAACAGAAAGATGGAAAAGGAAAGGCTCAAAATATATTGAATGAAAAATGAATGATTTTTTTCTAAAAAAAAAACTGGCTTATTTTTTTAGAAAATCGTTAGGTAATTGGGTTTTTGAAATGGTTTGGACTCTGATTGATAAATGTTTTTCGTAGGTTCGACATCGTAGCCTTCGAATTTGCATTTGTTTTGGTAGCTGTAGGAAAGTGGAATTGTAAAAGTCTTTAGTCTTTAAGTCTAAAAGACTTGAGTCGTTAAGTCTAAAAGTGTTGAGTATGATGTAAAACTAAGCTACGTATCGATCAAGGTGCTTAAAAACGGTAAAATACTGTTTAAAAACGGTAAAATACTGTTTAAAAACGGTAAAATAGTGCTTATAAACAGTAAAATTGTTGAAATTGTTGAACTTGATGAGCTTAGTGAACTATGCAAATCGATAAAGCTACCCGAGGTTGGTACTGGTATAAATAACAGTATGAAAAATAAACCAATTTGCGATTAGATATAAGTTAGGCTAGGAATAGAGATCCAGGAGTAGCAGTTGAATCAGCAATTAGCAGTTGAATCTAATCAAAATCTAATCTAATCAAACCCTAATCTAATCAAAGTCTAATCTAACCAAAAGCTAATCTAACCAAAAGCTAATCTAACCAAAAGCTAATCTAATCAAAAGCTAATCTAACCAAAAGCTAATCTAACCAAAGGCTAATCTAATCAAAAGCTAATCTAACCAAAAGCTAATCTAATCAAAGCCTAATCTAATCAAAGTCTAATCTAATCAAAGTCTAATCTAACCAAAAGCTAATCTAACCAAAAGCTAATCTAACCAAAAGCTAATCTAATCAAAAGCTAATCTAACCAAAAGCTAATCTAATCAAAGCCTAATCTAATCAAAGTCTAATCTAATCAAAGTCTAATCTAACCAAAAGCTAATCTAACCAAAAGCTAATCTAACCAAAAGCTAATCTAATCAAAAGCTAATCTAACCAAAAGCTAATCTAATCAAAGCCTAATCTAATCAAAGTCTAATCTAATCAAAGTCTAATCTAACCAAAAGGTAAATTAAAAACTAACCCAGCTAAAATCATCAGTTAATGCAAATCGATTGATTATGTTTACATTATGAATTAATTCCATTACGCATAGTATATATACTTTATCCGACAAGGAAAAGTGACAATGCAAACAGATTGAACAGCGTAGACGAAGAAAGATAATTGATATACAAACACAACTACAATTAGACACGTGTATATATGACATTAAAAAAAAACTAATTTAAAATTGACAGAGCTACAAGATCGAGCTTATATATTGAGGATTTAAAATAGTTCAGAGACGAAAAAATATCACAAGGTAGCATATCGGCGCGAAATAAGGCAAAAATTCCGTTTTCTATAGGATTTTTCTGGGAGTACCTTTTTTAGATGCGGAAAATTGTGCTGATTCCGAATCTGAAGGAATTTTTCAAATCCCTCTGACAAATCCAAAACAGAAATTTTTAAAATTTAGTTTTAGCGGTTTTTTGGTCATTTTGTATGGGAAATTTTGTGGTACCCTGCAGTTTGGGGCTCGTAACTCGACAACGAGGGTCTAGAACCAAAAACGAAGGGATAATTTTTATTCTAAAGACTCTTACGAACATTTTGATGCAAAAATCATCAAATTTGCTCAACTCTACAAAAAGTTATAACATCTTTAAAGAAATTTTGCAAAATCCTCTAGGAACTTAAGGGGAAACCGTGGCCGAAACGAATTTAGAGAGATAAGGAACCAAATTTAGAGAGATAAGGAACGGTGGGCGCGCGATGTCAATCCAGCGCAAAAGTATCGGGTTATTGGTTCGGCTCTCCCGCGCACTTGAGCTATTATTTTGCATATTCTTTAATTGTTTTGAGTGAATACGATACATAGCTACATTGTTCTTTTGAACAAAACAATTGTGCAATGGAGAATGTTTTGAATTTTCTCATTTCTTTTTTAAAAAATGTTATAACTTTTTGTAGAGTTGAGCAAATTTGATGATTTTTGTCATGACGTCATGACGTTCTATTAGAGTATTTACTAGATCTATTAGAATAAGTTTTTTTTTTCCCTCGAACTGACCTGGCTGACATAAATTTGTGAGAATGCAGCTGATCGTTTCAGATTTTAAAAAGTTTCAAGTTAAAATCTTAATCTGATCGATATTTAAATCGATAAGGTTTAGGGTAGAAGCTGGAAAATAAGAATCCAATCAAAACTGGAAAACGATGCTTTGTATCTTGTGTAAATTGCTGTCAGCTTGGGGGTTTGAATCGATTTAAATGCAAATCAATATGCAAATCAAATCTAGGCTAGGATTTAGGCTAAAAATAGCATCAAAACTAGAAAGTGATCAGCTGTATGCAAATTGGCTAACTGAAGAGGAATTGGCTGACGGAAAAGTAACTCAAAATCTAAAGTTAATCAACTAAATCGATACCGAGGTACAGGATAGATGAAATGAAGAACCAAGAGAAAAACGATCAGCTGAACCTCTATGCAAATCGATAAGCCAAGGTTCAAGGCCAAGAACAAGAAAGGAAAGCAAGAAGACAGACCGCCTGGCCACAAAAGGTCAAAAAGAAGACGGATAGAAGAAGCACAGCACACAAAAAGGCGCGGGCATAGATGAGAGTGTGTCTTTTCTTTTGGGATGGTATTGGGGGTTTCTGAAGGAGAAGGCAACCCCGAAATGGGAGAGGCAAGGCTAAAGAGGGACACTGGGGGAGGCCGGCCAGGGAAAAGACGGGGGGAGGGCGCGTCGCGATCCCCATACCCCGTCCCCCTCCACCCACTGCTCTATGAGACGCGGGCTGCCCGGGAAAGAGATAGAAAGAGAGAAATTGAAGGCACTGTGAGGCGACGCTGTGGCGAGGATTGGAGAAACGTGACGCGGCGGAGGAAGTGCTGAAGACGATCGCTGTGAGACCCAGGGTCGACCCAGCTGAGCGATCCCCTTTTCGCTGAGTCACTGGGATTTCAAAAAGTGATTGCAGATTGCTTTTGACTTGACAAAAAGTTTTTCTTTTTACAAACTGTTTTCTTTTTATATTCAGCTTGATTATTGTAATTGAATGGCTTGATTTTTCGGTAGAAATTGAATGGCATTTCGGTAGAATGCTATCTTTACTTTACTGTAGAATGCTATCTTTAATTTATTGTAGAATGTTATCTTTACTTTACTGTAGAATGCTATCTTTACTTTACTGTAGAATGCTATCTTTACTTTATTTTAGAATGCTATTTTTACTTTACTTTAGAATGCAAAGAAAAGTTATTCAAAACATTATCGGAGGTGCAAAGAAAAGTTATCAAAATTGACGAAAACAGAAGAGCGCCGACTTTACAAACGCAAAAACTTTTAGCTTTTAGTTTTTGGTGCATTCAAGATTTGTAAAACCAATTCCAAAAAAAGTCCGTTTATTTACTTGAAAAATAGTCAGCTTTCTAATAAATACTTTCTATTTTACCGAATAAAAGAATATTCTCTTATGCATTTGAATATTCTCTTATGCCTTATTCGTACTTCTACTTTCCTATGCAAGTTGCGCTTTCCTTGGCTTTCCTATACAAGTTATGCTTTCCTTGGCTTTCCTCATTTGACAGATTCAGTATTATCTTTGGGATTCTCACAAGTGCAAGGTATTCAGCCAAAGAAATGCCAGAGACCATGTTTCGTGTTGATTTCAAAAAAGTATTCTAAAGAAAGTATTGTAAGTTTTCTTTTAAAGTATTGGAAGTACTAAAGAAAGTATTGTCAGATTTCTTTTATCTTTCTGCATAAAATCTTTATAGCTCTTTGTGCTTTATGGTCTTTGTAGCTGAATATCTTGAAATCAAGCTCTTTTTTAAAATATTCAGCCAATGAGTCTTTTTCGTGTTGATTTTAGATATGACTGGAACCGTTTTTTTGTGAGTGCTTTTATTTTAAATCTTTTCATTTGTTTTAGATGAAAAACTGGTTGTTCCCTGTGATCTCAGAGCTTTGGATTAAATCTCCATGTACATGTACATGTTTATGGTGGATTTATTTCCATATGGAACTTCATATGCATTATCATTGTTTTAGGAGAAGAGTTAGTAACTAACTCCTTTTACCTAACACCTTTAGACGGTACTTTTCCAATATCGGGGAAGCGGAAGGATTATCGAGGGAACGGAAGGAAAATCGGGGGAGCAAATTTTGCCCCCTCGAAAAATGCATTTCCGGGACTGTATTTTAACTGCAACGTTTTTTAAAACTTTAACGACGTTGCGGTTCTCCGACATTTGTGCGTTCAAGGAATCGACATTATTTCATAGGACATAGGCAATCGACTATTTCGTCACCAAAGGAGTCATCCAGTCGTGGATTTGCAACTGTGGCGAATCGATGAAAGTCCGCTCAAAGGGAAAAGATCCATTTCGCTGGGTGTTAGATATTTAAGTCACTTTTGTGATCTAACATAAAGGTTGTGAGAATAACGGGTAATTCGCGGATTTTATGGCGGTAGTTTGTATAATATAGGACATATGTAGCGCTGCCAAAGTTTGCTCCCCCGATAATCGGACCGCTCCCCAGATATTCGAAAAGTACCCCTTTAGACTTACCAACCCTTCTCTAAATTAATTTGACACGAAACCCAAGACAAAGTAACAAGAAGATCGCGCAGATTATTTAGATTTGCGTTTTAGTTAAAAGGAATTGGTTAAGTTAAGTTTATACGGCACGTACAGAAAGATTCGAAAACAATGGAGTAGAAGCGAGCCGAGAGAAACGAAACAAAAGCATCTTTGAAATTTAAACAGGAAACATGGGCCGAACAATATAAAAAGGAGGGAAGGAACGAGGGCAGAGTACTTTAAAAACGCGATAGAAAAACATTACTTTACTGGCAATGAGCGATCTGTTTTTGAGCGAATAAGGTGTTGGGGGTTCTAAAAGGTGCGAAAAACTACCAAATTACTTTAGATCAAGTTTTTTCACCGATTGCCTGCAATAGGTCACGGCGGTTTTCAAAATTACCCACCTTAAAAGGTTTTATGAAGGGGCAAGGAAATTTAAAAGTAAAAGAGCGCATAAAAGTAAAAGCCATTAAACAGTTAAAGTTAAAAACATTAAAGCCGCACAAATTTCCCGATTCCAATTGATGGAAAATGAAAAGAATGGCAAAGGGGGATTTTTGCGCGGGGTACGGTAGCGTATCCACTCTTTAGAAAGCGCGCTGCGCCGCTTTCGCCTCAGCCCCTTTAAACCGCACGTAAATAGAATTCTAACTAAAGAACTGCACTCGGAAAGTGTAGTAAAAGTCATACTGTAACTAAATTTGCATATAGGAATCGGTGTACAGTGTACTAGTTACTTTACTGGCAATGAACGATCTGTTTTTGAGCGATTAAGGTGTTGGGGGTTCTAAAAGGTGCGAAAAACTACCAAATTACTTTAGATCAAGTTTTTTCACCGATTGCCTGCAATAGGTCACGGTGGTTTTCAAAATTACCCACCTTAAAAGGATCTAAAGAAAGTAGAAGGATCAAATTTCTAAAGAAAGCACAAGGATCAAAATTTGCACGTCGGTTTGTTAGGAGAAGATGCAAAAGACGCAAATCAATGTTCTTTGATTAGTCACAATGAGGAAAAAGAGCGTTTTCTGAACACTTTGCCAAAGGGTGATTCAGAACCAAAAAAATTATTACCGCTTGTGGCAAAGTCTGACTCAAAAATGCCTTTTCATTATCTATTGCTTGCGGGATTTCAAAACAGCTGTGCGAATTTGTTACCTTCTACCGAATTTGTGCATTTCTTTTATGCAAGAAGTTTTAAAAATTCTCGAAAAGTTCAAATTTAACCGTCAAGTCGTTAAAACACCGCTCGAGGTTATATACCCAATTTACAACTGAGTATCTTGAAATCATCGACAAATCGCCGTTTTCTCTTTTCTAAAATGCACTAGTTTCCAAAATTGCTTATTTTGGGGGTGGGACAAATGCGACCTTTTTTTGCGCACCTGGACATTTGCGCACCTTTTTTTTGCTGGAAAAGGTCGTAGAGCTTCGAAAATGTTTCCATACTGGGGAATCGTATGCGTAGATTTCGAATTTCGACAAATCAAAGCAAATCAGACCTCGCTGACACGTTAAATTTGAGCTAAAAGGCAAAAACTACGCAACTTAACGCTTTTCCGCAGCTTTTGCCTTTTAGCCCAAATTTGACGTGTCAGCGAGGTGTGATTTGTCGAAATTCGGAATCTACGCATGCGATACCCTTCTATGAAAACATTTTTGAAGCTCTACGACCTTTCCTAAGGCCTTTTCCAGCAAAAAAAAGGTGCGCAAATGTCCAGGTGCGCAAAAAAAAGGTAGCATTTGTCCCACCCCCCCTTATTTTGAAATCTTTTCACGTTACTTTTGATTCTAATTTTTCAAATTTCGCTATGGCTCTCGAGTTTATTAGATTTTTAACCAATAGTTAGCCAGTAGCCAATGGCCAAGAGTTAGGTATTATCTTAAACTTTAAAAACTTTCATGAACATCGCTAGAACGTTTCTTGCCTTGGTTTGATAAAGGTTTTCCATTTTTTTATGTTTTCAACCGTTTTTTTAATATCAATGAACAAGTTTCTTTTTAGGCATCGTTTCTTTGGCTCAAACGGTTAACAAGGATCGATATGGGCTCTCTACAGGTAAGAATTTTTTAGATTAGACAAAGTTTCTTTAAAGTTTGAAGTTTACGAGAGCCTTGACTCTAACAAGCGTTCTGAATCGGGTACTTTTTACTTTGTCCCCCCCCCCAAACATCAGGCAAAATTTTTGACTGCTTTAAATGCAAATTTATTAATTTAACTCGTAAAATAATATCTTGAAGCTCAATAATATACTTATTCCAATGAATAATCTTTGTTCACTTGCATCCAAAAGTTGTAGAAGAAGGTTGTAGGCAAGAAGAAGGCAAGAAGGTTGTCTAGTTGTTTGGCGTTGAATCCGCGAAGCCTTAAAAAGATGAAAAATGAATATCACTTTTTAATTTTTGCTAACAAAGTAAAAAAGTACCCTGAATTGTTTATTTCGGCAAACTTTAAAAGTTTAACTAAAAGTTTTGCTCCTTTTCGTTTGAATCTTAATGTTTATCAGCAAATTTATAAATGTGCTAAATTTTTAACAGCCGTATCATTTCTAAAGAGCTTTTAAAATTTTAAAATTAAAACTAGGTAAAACTTTGTAGAGTTTTTATAGGTTTGAAATTTGTTGTTCAACGTGTTCATTTAATCACCATTTTTTAGAAAGCCATCGAATTGATCACGAAAGCGACGGAAGAGGACAAAAAGAAGAACTACGAGGCGGCACTTCCACTCTACGATCAAGCCATTCAATACTTCATTCACACTATCAAATGTTGGTTTTGTCATTTTTTTTAAACATAGAGCTAGATTTGAATCAAACTTTGATCAGCATCGACCATATTTGAGCATGTGTTTGGGGATTTCTGTTAGCTAGTTGGATGTAAAAGAAGCTAGTTGGATGTAAATTTCTGTTAGCTAGTTGGATGTAAATTTTAAAAGTACTTTTTTTAGCGAACAAATTAGACATTAATCATTAAGTGAATGACTATACAACTATCAAATTTGAAGCCAAACTAATACTTAGCATTACAGACGAAGCCCAAGGCGAAAGACAGAAGGACACGATTCGGCAGAAGTGCGAGGATTACTTGAAACGATATGAACAGGTACATTGAACATATTTTGATATTTAATGCGTCTTTTGATATTTAATGCTTTAGATCAAAGAGTTTCTGAAAAACAATCGTGAGGGAAAGAAAGTGAAGGACAACGGTTCGGCAAAAGATGGTGATGACAGCGATGAAGACGTCGAGAAGAAGAAAATGCAGGTGGGAAGAGGAGCAGCGTTAGAAAATCTGTTGGTCTGATCATAATCAAGCTTAAAAACAGATCTGATGCATCTTGATGATAACTGTTGGGGAAACAATTTTGTCAACAATTCCTACAAATTCTTTAAAAAAAGTCCTGGGATTGAAAGTATTTTCCTTGTTAGAGCAATTTTGAATGTTTATTTGGCTGTTTTAGAACTAATAGGCCCTTTTCCCAATTAGGCATTTGCCGAGAAAGAATAAAAGCTTGTTATTTAGGACAAACTACAAGGAGCGATCGTGATGGAGAAGCCAAATGTCAAATGGTCGGACATTGCCGGGCTCGAGAGTGCAAAAGAAGCGCTAAAAGAGGCCGTCATTCTGCCCATCAAATTCCCTCAACTCTTCACCGGTGAGTTTCGGTGAAAAGGAGTGACTGCAGAGTTAAAAATTGAAAAACTGAACTATTGGAGAATACCCTATTGTTATATACACTATTGTTTAAGCAAGCTGTAAAACGTCCAGGATTAGCCTGTCATTTACGGTCATGAATGTTTCCTTATACCTTATTGAAAGTAAGTAGTCGGACTCTAGCTCGATGACTTTGTAGACTTATTGATCTGGCAAGCTTTAATGGCTAATCAAGTCATTGTTTTTTCAAGTCGATGTGGCATTTGATCCTATGACTTCTCTATTAGAATTATATTTTTTAATTCTTAACTGGATGATAGTGTTTTGCTGATCAGTGAGTCTATGGCTCTGATCCTAGCTAAGGGCGTTTGCAAGCTTTGAAGAAGCTCTGATTCAGGGCATATCGAGCCAAAGCTACATTTAACTCGAGCTTTTCCATTGTAACAAGATAGCGATAGTAGGTTGGATCTAGCTTGAACAAAGCCGCGCGTATGGAACGTGGGTTTCTAATACAGAAAGCTCCATTTATTGAAGAAGCACGGTTGTTTTTTATTCCAATTCCCTTTGAAGATCATCAATTGCTTCTTCTTTGTCTTTTTCTTAATTAGGGTGCTGTTTTGAGACACAATCAAATAGTCTTTATTTTTGGCAATTCATCAAACAAAATGACACAAAACAAGTAGGTGTGTTGACATTTATTGTTTTATCCGTAATTGCAATACTTGCGTCACGTTCTCAATATGGTTTCTAATTTTTAAGAGAGTTTTTTTGGGTCTCGAAATGAGCTTTGGGGAATTTGCACCGGGGAATGTGGGAAAAGATTTGCAACAATTCATAATTTTTCCAAAAATCACACAATTTTAAATGAGTTGTGCTTGTAAGTTGTGATGCTGGTGGTATCCGGTAGTGCCGGTTTTATGGGCTCTTGCGGTGAGCGCCATATCTTCTTCTTTCATCATGAACAATGAGGCGCCATATAAAACGGGAGAAAGGAGAACCTAAAAGAAACTTTTTGATACTGGATTTATTGTTAAGCTTAAACCTCAACCCTTTTTTTTTGAATTGGCTTTACTTGTACGGAAAGAAATTAAATATCTTTAGGTTTCTCAAAGTGATCAGTTAATATATTGACTGAATTCAAGATTAATTTACTGAATAGGAAGCATAAATCAATTGGATTTGCTACTTTTAGAAGCCCTTTGTTGAACGAACGTTTAGAACTAGAATGTAGTTTTGGCTTTTGCAAAAATATAGATCGTCTTAAATTGATCTAGCTTTGAACTCACATTTGTAAATGCCATGCACATGGAGAGAACGGGGATCACTGATACTTCGCCATCATTTCTCCACCATCCGGTCGTTGTGACAAAATAGAACGGAAATTGATACAATGGCCTGAAAATAGCTGCCTTCTATCAGTGTGGGGCGAAAAAGTAATGTAGGCTTAGGCTATGAATGTTTGAATTGCTTACGTTAATAGAAAAGCGTAAACGAGCCATCGACTCTTATACAGGCCGATACTCTGGAAAACAATTGGGCTGTGGTAGAGAATGCCGAGTACCCGTATGTAGGCGTATGAAGAGAAGATCACCGGGAAAAAACCTAGATTTGGAAGATTTATCCTGTCTACTGTTTGTCAACTAACCCCAAGAATCAGCACATAGGCCAGGAATTTTAATCCCGAGTCCGAGTGACCCCAAACGCAAGTTTTCAGAGATGGGTCGTAAATCACGATGTGTCCTGAAAGGACTTACGTAAAGTTTAAGTCAATTGAACTACTATGAAAGTTAGAAAATAAAACTTAGTTTAGTTTTTCTGGATAATTCGGTTTTTTAGACTGGTAAAACTCGCCATTTGTTATAGCTGGCAAAGCTAATAACACAGAAATCACCCAGGAGAGCACACATATCACTTTGGGTGCAAGCCCGAATAGTTGTTCGTAGTGTATCCGAGCGAATGTGAGCAAATGAACACCGGCTATGCATAAATGCATTGCCGCCATCACTGTCCACACACTGCATAGGAGAAGTGCCTAAAATTTGTTTGTTTTAAAGTGATAGGTTGATTTTAAGGTTCGAGTCAATTTGTTTGCTACAGCTTTAGTAGTAGGTTTGTCATTACCACTAAAAAGTTAGATTTTAAGCTTTTTTTTTTTTTTGATTGTTTGCGTTTTGGAATAGCCAAAATTCATCTATGACGCTTGAAACCGGGGCAATTATCTCTTTTTTACTAGAGCCGTAGGGACCCCGTCCAAAAATATGTTGCTAGGCTACCCAGGTTTCTGAAAATTAAAAGATGAGTCTCGTTTGTCGTTTTTCAAAAATGAAAAAAGCTTCCGTTTCACCTGTATTCGACACATGTAGTGACTCTCTCGCCAAAGATTCGACCCAGTCCACAGTGTGATCAAATACATGGGAATGACAACAAATATCGTGAAAATATTCGTTATACATAAATGTGAGATGAAATGCGAGGAAATGAAATTGTGATAGAGTTTATTTATCAGAATGTACAGTAGCAGGGCCAAATTGAGGCACAGCGCCACAATGGAGAGACCTCCGAAGATGATCGTGACGAGGGTGTCTTTCTCACCGGAATGAATGGTGCCATTCGGGTAGCCATTAGTGAGATTGGGCTCCGGAAGAAACACCTCGCGATTCATCGAAGCCGTTGCTGCTTGGTGTGCACCTTCCGGTGGATGATCTTCCGTCTCGAGGATGAGGCGAAAAGAGTCAATTAGCTGATCATATAGGGTCACTAATGGGTTTAGGATTCGATAAGCGGGTGTACGGATGAGCGTCTCCAGACTTTGCACTCGTTTTTGATTGGTGAACGAATTTTGACTCGGATTTTGTTGGGGTGGCCTGCAGTGACCGGGGTTGAGTTAAGAAAAGTCGATTGAATTGAGCAAGCAGCTTTCCAGTTAGTTAGCTTTTCTGTAGTGAATCCAGAGCAATTAGAGAGTCGAAGTGTTGTTTTTGAGTTGAGAGATAGGTGGAGGGAGGGCCTCGTTATTTATGAGATCCCCAAAATTGAGTGCACTTGTGGCGTTTCGAATGCTGTAAACAGGAGAACCGGTTGCAAATGAATATGATAGCAGTGTGTGCGTAGAAATTGCTTCCTTGTCGGGTAAAATAATGAATAGCCTCAGCTCCCAAGTTGAGTAGGGTCACACACCGTATAAATGAAAGAAAAGCTTGTGAAAATCTTGTTTGAACAAATGTTTGACTCTGGCAGCTGGCCTAGCCGCGAGGGGTTTTTCGTCTTGTAGAGGAAAAGGAGGATAGAAAAGAGAGAGACGGGTGGAAAAGAGAGCCCCGCCTCGGGTTTTAGCAGTGCTCTCTCTTTTCGGCGGTGGGGCGATCGATGTGGGACCCCTGGGTTGGTTGAGGCTCCTCTTACTGGGACCCCCATCTCTATTCTTTTTCTCTCTTTCCCTTGTGCTAAGGCTTTTTCCCCGTCTCTCTTAAATATTTTCGGTCTCTAAGGACTTCGACTCTATCCTAATTTCTCATGCTTTTTGCATTCCTTGAGATCCTCACTCTCCACATTCCCCTTGCCCGCCCCTCTTGGTTGTGGCCCTTCATTTATCTCCGATGTCGAGAAGAGAACGGGACAGCCCTATTCACCCCTCTTCTTAAAGCGTCTAAGCAAATTTGTGCTTGGTGTCGGCCCTAGAAAGCAACGCTAATTAAGGCGCTGGGTGAGAAAGAAAAATAACGTGAGCGGGAATTTTTGAGCTCAAAGATTCGTCAGCAGATGTGGGAAGTGAAAATGAATAACTTGGTGGAAAATTGATGAATTTCCGCGGGGCATAAATTAGGGATTTGATCAGAGAACTGGGCAATGCAAAAAATAACTTAAAAAGATTTGCTTCATAAATTTTTCTTATTTCAGGAAATCGAAAGCCATGGAGAGGGATTTTGCTCTTCGGACCACCTGGTACGGGAAAGTCGTTCATTGCGAAGGTATTTTTTAGAACGATTGCTAAAGATTCGATAGTTTGGAGAATTTTTCACCCTTTCCAATGTATTGTTTCTAGGCTGTGGCCACCGAGGCGGGAAATTCGACATTCTTTTCAATCTCTTCCTCCGATCTCATGAGCAAATGGCTTGGCGAGTCGGAAAAGTGAGTCTTGAAAAAAAAGTTGTCACTGAAATTCTTTGTTGACAAGCAGTTGGGCTTGCAAATCTCTTGGGATTCTAATTTCCGATATCTACTGTCATTTTCCTTTTTAAAACCACGGACTTCATTTTGAGTTCTCAAACGGGTGGCTCTGGACTTATTTGGGCCGTGCTTCTCGGCGACATATTCAGTTTTCAACGTTATGAATCGCCGATGAGAAAGAGGGAAAGGGGCGTCCCGTCGCCGAGCTCAGATCGAGTTACGCAAAGTCCAAAGTGGAATAGTGACCCCCTCTTTTCCCCTCATCTCCCGTTTTTTATATTTACTCTTTTTTCGCTCTAAACTTAACCTCCCTTAGTCGGGCACTTCATTGCAATCGAGGTGGCCTCAAATTACAGCGTCTGGCTCTCCGATAAAAAGTGAAAGATGTGTAGAAAAAATGAAAATGATGATGGCATGAGAGTTTTTCCAAATAAGTGATGGTACTTGCGGGTTATACTTTGAGCGCCCGTGTTATAAATCTAAACCAGTTGGACATCGAAATTATGAGTGTAGCTCATACGACTAGAGTGTTCAGAGAAAGAAAAACAGGCTGTAAATCCTCCAATTTCAAAAGAATCGTCATTCCTTCTAAACTTTTCATTTTAGGTTGGTGAAGAATCTCTTCGAGCTCGCTCGCCAAAACAAGCCCAGCATCATTTTCATTGACGAGGTAAATTTGGAAAGTTTTTTCATAACTTTATAATTTCAGATTGACTCATTGTGCTCGTCACGATCGGATAATGAAAGTGAAAGTGCTCGACGTGTGAAGACGGAGTTCATGGTGCAAATGCAGGTGAATTTGGAGATTCTTGACAAAAATTGAGATCTTCCTAAAGCATGTGATAAGTTTAGAAACTTTATTAAAAATTCATTTTTCGATTTGAACTTTCTGGAGATTTTTGAAAAAGATAGAAACGTGAGCTTGAATCTGATAAATTTTTCACGTTGAGTGTCAAAAATCTCAGTGCACTTTATGGTTTTTGGATCTTAGAATTTACCAAACTTTTAAACTATTGTTATTAACTTTAATTAATAGTACTATTTAGGGAGTCGGTTTGAACAACGATGGCATTTTGGTACTTGGTGCGACAAATATTCCCTGGATTCTTGACGCCGCTATTCGAAGGTAACGAATTGAGGATAGATATAAAATTTTAGCCATGGGAATTTATCTGACTCACATTATACTTTTAGACTACGTTCAGTAGTAAACTTTGGAAGTGACAGACCTTTTCTGCGAAATTTAAATTTCAGCTTTATTTTTTAAAAACCTACTTTATCTTTTTATTTAGGCGTTTTGAAAAACGTATCTACATCTCGTTGCCGGATATTCAAGGAAGAAAGGAGATGTTTAAGTTGGACGTGGGAAAGAATCGAAACGATTTGGCGGATCAAGACTACAGGGTTAATTCCAAATGTTTAAAGCTTTTTTATAATTATCTTTAGTCGCTGGCTGAGAAGACGGAAGGTTTCTCCGGTTACGATATCAACATTCTTGTCAAGGATGCCCTCATGCAACCAGTGAGAAGAGTGCAAACAGCAACACATTTCAAGGTAAGCATTTGATTGTAAAGCAAGAATTAGACTTTTAAAATTTATCTATGTTTGTTTTTAGTACGTCTCTGGTCCCGATCCAAATAACCCACAAACGACAGTCAACGATCTTTTGACACCGTGCTCTCCGGGAGACCCAATGGCGATCGCGATGAGTTGGTTGGATGTGCCTCAAGGGAAAATTGCTGAACCATTACTGGCAATGGTGGGTTTAGAATAATAGTAAAATTTCTATTTTACAGAACACGATTAATATTAGGAAATGGAACACGATAATTACCTGTTTCATCATAGTTTAAAGTAAAAGTAAAAGGCCAGAAAACCTGGGTTTTTAATGTTGCCTTGCTGACATATGGGCTACTTAAAAATTGTTGCTTAAAATTTAGTTACTGAGACATGCCTTGTGTCTATATTAAAACTTGAAAACCTTTTCTTATCAGAACGACATCCTCCGATCTCTTTCCACTGTCAAACCCACCGTCAATCGTGATGATCTCAGCAAACTGGAAAATTTCGCCAAGGATTTCGGCCAAGAAGGATAAAGAAGATTAATTTGTCAAAATTTTTGCTTAACCCTATGTATTTTTACTTACTTTTTTAACTCTTCCGTTACCTAGGCACATTCCCATGTTTTTAGACGAACATGATGTATTTTTTCCTAGTCTTAATTTATTCATCTGTCAGCTGTTTCTGTTCTGTTTTTATCGAATTTTTGATATTTCCCTTTGCTGTGCTCAAAATTTATTTCCATTTTTCTTCTTTGCTGATGGGTTATAGTATGGTATTTGATACTGTATCCGAATTGGAGTTGTTTAAAATTTAACGAAACCTCGGTTCGAATACGGTGGTTTGCTTATTGTCCTTGTTTATTGATAAAAGTTAGTGCAAAATGAAAGGACTACGGTAGAAAGAGCGACTTTTAGAATAATGCATTAGTGAATTCTATTTTGCACTAACTTCGTCATTGAGTAAATCTGGTTACATAAAGTGTTCGTTTGTTTCCCAAAAGTTTCTCTCCGTATAAGATGATTCCCTTTACACATCTTTATGAGTACCGGTTATCTGATCCCGTCGTAATCCCAAGTCTGTGCTTTTTAATGTTTTTACGCCAAAATCTGTATTCTAAACTGTGTCCCTATGGATAAGAGTTTTTTCTAAAAGGTACCCTTGAAGATAACTACCTTAATCTGTGAATTTTCTGTTTAGAACCGACTAACAGGTCTGGTTTTGAACATTTAATTGATCACGAGAAGCACGGTAGCTTTTTCTAAAGTCACCTAGAGTACTATAATTTTTTGCTAAGAGCGTCAGGAGTACGGTAGCTTTCTTGGAAAAGCTAGGAGTACAATAGCTTCTATAGAGCGCCGGGATACGGTAGCTTCTCTCAAGAGCACCTTTTAGCAAATCTCTTAATCAATAGAGATACCAACTAAACTGAAAAAAAAAACCATACTGAAATATTGCCGGCTTTTGTATATAGGGGAATTTTTGGGTTTGAAGATATGTCTCTTTGATTTCCATATGTAATTGTATCTCTTTTCATTATCTGAATATCTTTTTTTCTTTAATTCTTTGCTGTTTACGACACTTTGAGTTAGAGTACAATTTGATAAATTTTGATTTTGATAAATTCTGAGTGCATCGGGCGGTAACGCAAATGAACTCGGTGACACCTAGCTAGGCCCGAGCCAGAGTTCTCTTCTCTGGTTAAGGAACGGACTCGCTGGAAACGGTTCAGCCGAAGATAGCGACGTTGTTTTCGTAAAGCGTCACGGTTTCTGTGGCGTCTCGTGCGCCTGGCTGGGTCCTTGAAAAACCGAGGGAACCAATTTGAATCTCGTACCGGATCGTACCCATATCCGCAGCAGGTCTCCAAGGTGAACAGCCTCTAGTCGATAGAATAATGTAGGTAAGGGAAGTCGGCAAATTGGATCCGTAACTTCGGGAAAAGGATTGGCTCTAAGGACTGGCATTCTTTTGCAAATTCAGCTTTTCTTCTTCGATTTGAGCTCTTTGAGGCATTCCTTGGAGGACTTTCCGCTCAAAACGATCGAGATCTTTGTGAAGCTACACTAATCTTAGTATGTTTTGCATCTGGCATCGAACCGTCGACCTGCAGAACGATGACCAAGGATTCTAACCACTCAGCCAAGCTACAGTAAACGAAGTAAAATCTAAACACACGCTTTCAAATGCAAATTTAAAAGTTTGAATGTAAATTTCTGCGGAACTACATCAGAAATTAACCTTTAAATAGAGAGATTAGGTTGGTTGGTGCATAAGTCTTGACATTTTTTTTTTCCAAACGTTTTTTCAAAAATAATGCCACCACCAACAAAATTTCTATTTGAACTATTAAAAAGGTTAATTGTTTCTTCTGCAAAATGGCTTTTGGGAGATTCTCGGAAGTCGTTGTTTTTGTGGATTTTCAAAGGCGCAAAGGCGAGCACTCAAAAATGCTCCGATGCCGAAATTTATCGAACGTAGTGATAAGAAATAACGAGTAATAAATACAAATACAAAAATTCAAAAGCATTCTTCTCTATTGTGTTCTCGATATTTGAGGGTTCCTGGTGTTAACGGTGAATTCACAGCTCAATCACTTTCGCTCAAGGTTTACGCTTTTAAGTTGAACGTTTAGAAACTTCTGATCACATTGCTGACTTCATTTCCGCACTCCACTATAAATGTTTCCCAATTTACAATATCCGTTTGATGCGGCTCGTCATGCAGCTCGTTTGATGCGGCAGCTGGTCGATGAGCATCTTGATGAGAATCGATGAGCGACAATGGACTCATGGAATCGACAATGGACTCATTGCTGCTTTTTGCGCGATGGCTGCCGGTCTTTCAGCTAAGATCTAACCAGAATGAACTTTAATAGATCCCAAATCAAAAATTCACCTCTTCTAACGAAATTTGCAGAACAAGCCTATCAGATGGTCGACTGATTGTGACCTAAAAAGAGCACTCAACAACTAACCTTGTCAAGTCGATACTAGTTGAATGATTTGTATAAGGATCTAAAAATTTGGCTTCAGTTTGCATTTGAAAGCATTTGAAATTTGAAAAAATTACTCGTCATCAGAAATAGAACTAGTTTGGACACTTCACCGTCGTTGTCTCCTGTTTTGGTCATTCTTTTGCTTTGATCGGTCTTGCAGAAGCCATACTTTTGTTAACTAGATGCAAAAAATCTCGAGAAAATCCGCTTTTACTTTTAGCTATTCAATTGTTGAGTTTGAGGCCGTTCGGATCGTTGCTCGTCGATCCCTTTTTGTAGTTTTCGGTTTCCTTCCAAAATGCTTCTTGGTACCATAGCCAGTGGGATCCCTCATATAAAGGTCGACTACAGAAGGAGCTCGGTTCATTTGCGAAGGCGAGAAGGCGCCCTGTATGCATCTCAAACAAGGCTGTGAGCATCGACATATTATTTTGGATAATCGAAAAAATCAATCCACTATAAAACTGCAAAGCATCTTTGCAAATTCAGACTCTCAAAAATAGCATGTACAGCCAGGAAAACTTTATTGGAAATTTCTTCAACGATCAAAATCACATATGCACCTTATTCGTTAAGAGCTTCAGCCTAGTCGTGGCGGCAACGACTTTCAAATTTCCTTGCGGATGCGCTTTTCCAGCGATCGGACCAGTATCATTTGGGTGTTCTCCGTGATACTTCTGATAGGCTAAAAGATGCCATTTGACTAACCAGCTTCAAATCGTTAAGAATCCAAGTCTAAGTTATTAAAAGTATTGCTTTTCTAGAACATGTCACCATTTCAAGACCTACTTGACCATAACTCCTTGATCTTTTTGAAGAGAAGTCCACGCATAGACTTTGCGCCGAACATCAAAATCAAACAATTTGCTGTGGAATGCCAACCGAAATAGGCCAAAAAGATGCACCCAACTGAAACGAAACATTTTTGTTTTATCGATTTTTTTGACTAACCGAAATCCAAATCAACAGAATCTTGCACGAGGCTCAGGAAAAAAGCCATACACGAAAGACCATAGAATAGGGTTAAGGCAAGGAACTAAAAAGTATACTGTAGGCCGCCTGTAAGCCTTGTGCGGGTACACAAAGTTCATGCAAATTTAAATATGCCTGCAAACTACCATTTAACTTTCGTATAAAAGGTCCCTAATTGAAATCTTTCCTTGAGATTCGGTCCGTTTTGCTCAATTTTGCTCGGTTTTGCCTAATGAAGCCTAATCGAATCGAAATGAATTTAATTATTAGATTGCTACATAAGTCTTTGTTTCAAAGATAAGGAACCAAAAAACCAAAATTTCAAAGATAAGGAAAGTCAGAGAGATAAGGAACCAAATTTAGCGAGATAAGTATGAATATCCAGCCAATCGACTTGCGGTTCTCCCTATCAGAAAGACATATTATTTCTTTAGAACTTGCTACTTCAAAAGTTGTCAAAAACTGAGTCATTTGTCAAAAATGATTAAAGTCAAAGCTGAATTTTCCGTCACACAAACCCATTTTGGTGTCAGAAGAAAAAAGATTGAGCAAAAAAAGTTAAGCGAGTAGTCGGATTTTCATTTGATCCGTTCTGTTGCTTTCCTTGTTTGCTTATTTTACGAAATTCATAAAATTTTCAAATTCCATTTCAATTTTCAATGGGAAACGGACTCTACAGGGTGCGTCATAATTATTGCAACAAGATACTCAAGGCATTGCACACCAAGAAGTTTCATGGGAAGATTTTTAAACAGAAATAGCTTTATTTAACAGTAACAAATAAGGAAACAAGAGATCATTCGATATGACCGCCTTTTGCCTTGATAACAACCCTTAATCGGTTCGGATATGCATCGGATATGCATATTCGGATTATTTGCCGAGCCTGTTTACTTTTTATATTATCGCCGAGTTTGTACATGAAATGAAATATTCTTAGCACTGTGAATCCAATTTCGGCTCCAAATAAAAAGACGGCGATTAGCAAGACAATAGAGACGTATGGAATCCACGACCGATTAAGCACCCAATAAAAAGCAGAAGGTGTTTCTTTTAGAAAAGTCTGCATTTCGTCAGGGATCCGTGCATTTGAGTGATCCTGAAACTTTTCCTTCGTTCTAACCAAAAGCTTCAAACAATTTGTCGGCTTAAAACGAAGAAAAAGAAGTTTATGAACCGAGCTTTTTTCTTAGATTCTATTCAATAGTTGTCACGATTATTGTTTTCGTGATCCATAGCGGCATGTTAATTGCGTGGTAGATCGGCGAAACCAAGAAGGCGGCGGGGTATGGAAGTAAAACCACCGGGTTCGAGATGCCCAGAACGAGGTCGCAAAGAAAAGAGGCAGACTGAAAAGCTAGAATTGTAGATTCGTCCCAAACCACGTTTTCAAAACCGGCGTACATTGAGTTTCTTATACAATTAGTATTTTGGGTTTGGACTTGGGAAGAAAAGAAGAAGGGGAAAGGAGAGAAGTCGAATGAAGAAAGGAGGAAGGAAAAGAGATCTCCTCGCTATATATAAAATTTTGGTTCACAGCTGAACTATTCGTTGATTTCTGTT